GGAATAAAGATAAGAAAGTAGATTAACATTTTACTTGGGACTTTGATTCCGAGAAATATGCGAAATATATGTTATTAATGCGTGCTGAGTGATTTAGTGGATATAATTTCGTTTGGAAGAATGTGAATTTTTATTTACTGTTCGAGTTATCACTGTCATAGTCATCTTCCCTTCGGACTTGCATTTATGCAGCATTCAATAACAGAGGAAACTCCACAAACTAAAGACAACGCGCATCTGTTACATAATGCTTTATTATCACATGAGGGCTATAAACAAAAAAGAAGAACAGAACAGCACATCATATTTTGTTTAACTTACAGTTATCAAACCAGATAGAGAGTACAGTATTACATTGTAATTTTTGGAAATACTTAAAACGTGTTTTATTATCAGTCTCCCTATGACAAATAATAGCTATATCAAAATAATTAAATTCGATTTTTGGTAGACTGACTTTTGACATTTGAAAAGTAAAGTACATTTTCCAAGAGTTCGGTTCTTCGCAATGAAAACGCCTGACAAGTAGACAAACATGACGTCCCAGAGGGATCTTGGCGCCCACCATTGCTTGGTATATATATGCTCTTTGAAAGTTGGATCTTTTGCCTCCTTTATTCTTCTCTTCTCTGTTTTTGTTATTAATGATAAGACATTTGAATCTTCCTTTGCACAAATAGGGACGATAATTTTTACCTGCCTAATCCAAAATGGCCGCCTGGAAGCCATTTTGTTTTTCTGCTCATTGCCAAAATCAAACGAGCACATGGAGAGACAAAACGAAACATAATATGAAATGTACTTCTTAAGAAATAGCATTTACAATCTTAACTATGCAAAATTCAAGATGGCTGACTGTAGACCATTTTGGTTTTCCTAACTCAAACAGTCACAATAGGACCTATACAAGAAATTAGAGAAAGTTCTATAGAGTAGTTCTCAAGAAATAGTGTTAACAAACTGTAACTCGGCTCAGGATTGTGGGTATATGGACTTTTTGAACCGGCAGCCTGTGCCGTGATCAATTGACAAACTTTGACTCCATCTTGTTATATATAATTATATTACCTATCACATCTTTCTATTCTTTAACACTATAATTTAAATGATGGTAATGCTTGCCTAACATTTTTGTTAGATAATTATTCAACTGAATCTATATTCTAAATTCTTTTCCCGGAATGCTATCATTATTATTTAATATCTAAAATTTTGATTGATGTGTCTGTGTACTTGTTTAAATTGTATGGAGAGGGCTTTCATAGGCTCTGCCTGTTGCCCAATTCCATTTGTCACCAACATCAAGACAAAATATTCTGAAATGAAATGGCGGCTTGTGGGACATTTTGTTATTTTTTTCTGATCAGTACCAAAAGCACACATATCGATGCTGTAGTTCTCAAGAAATAGCGATAACAATCTTTCAAAGTCAAAATCTATGACGTCCATCTGTCGGCCATTTTGTTTTTCTGATCAGTTGTTTACGGACGAACGGACCAAGGACCACGGACGCAGAGCGATTTGAATAGCCCACCATTTGATGAAGGTGGGCTAAAAAGCGATGAACATCTATCAATATACATTAAATAACATCTAAAGTTAAAGCAAAATCTGAAAAATAAGCAATATTGACATGGTATCATGGCATGCTCTGGTGGGAGATAACTACGTTTCCCGTTTTGACAATTCGTTGGTGTTCTTGTCCTTATGTTTTATACAGTCTAATAACCGTCTTTTATTTTTCATTCATTTCGAACGGAACTGTAAGTCTGTAAATCCTTCTAAATTTTCGACATGGATTCCCTGCCGTGTGGAGTGGTAAAGTCAATATCTGGTCCAATGGATACTATTCTTGTCGGGTTTATCGACTCATGACTCATCTATAACAATAGAACATGTGTGTCAATGGCTTAGATTTCGTAATGTTTTCCGATACCTTTGGATTCTGACGAGTCCTGGCACATTTGTAAAAGATGTACAAATTCAAAACTTATTTCCTTTGTTCTTGTGGGGAGTGGGAGTGAATATTCAAATAATGCTCTCATTGAAAAATATTCTATTTCTTTGTGGGACATGAAGTTGGACGTATTTGACGCTCGTTAGATTGCCTGTTGGTTCCGTTGTTGTATGTCTTGTTCTCATTTGAGAACGTGACGTTACTTACTTGGAATGACCAAGGTTTACGAGTGTTGTCGATGAAGCAGAAGACGCCTACTCTTCCGGAACTTCTGATCTTATTCTCCTTGTACTTTTTTCAGGAGTCTCCGTATCAATCTTTTTTTGTTCATATTTTGCTCTCGTTTTATGGAATTTTAGTTAAATTATAATTATGTTGCCATGTCGGTATTTCCTTGATGTTTATTGTGAGCTTCAAACTTAAAAAAAAAACTTCATAATTAACACATTATGTGATGTTTTATCATTTTTTTAATTGTAGAGTACTGTGCCAATAGGCTGTTGTATGCACGTTTCAGTGGACTATCCTAAATCTGATGCATGTGAAAGAAGGAAATCGCATCTCAAATCACTACAAAGATAAACACCACAGTCGTGATATCGACTATTCGTATAAAACTCTAGATCAGTGACTTGTTATATACCTTATATGGTGATTTCTGAAGATTTACTAAAGATGAAAAATCACCATTCAACCTATCGTTGTTGGTAAATGTTACATAAATCTTTATCACTAGCTTGTCGTTTCTGTTAGCTCTACAATTTACTCCATTTTTCAAGAACACCATTTTGGTATCAAAGTGCCTGTAACATCCTTGAACTCCATTTAAACATCTTTGTGGGGACAGAAGGTTGGGACCAAAACTATCATAGAACGAAATAGTTTAACCCCTTCATATTTCTGTTTAAAAAGGGGACTTAAAAGTTAAATCCGGAGTGTAGAGTTCAATGTCAAAGAGATAAAGGAAAGACAGCGGGGCAAAATAAGGGTAACGATTATTTTGTTCATTTAAGGGTTTTTTCCTAAACCATAACATTAATTGGTGACTGAGAATGAAACTGATCAGGCCACTTGGAGACGATGGATATGTCTAATTCCTCCACCAGAAGTATGTATTAGAGTGTATCTAATATTTCTGCTATGAAAACATGCCATTTAAGTCTTTTATTGATAAACAATGGGGTACGTTGTGATGCAAGACTTACCATGTAGTGTTTAGTGATGTGTTCAAAGTTAACTGTGTCAGCAATCCCCCGAAATTGGTACAAGTCTCTCAGGTATCCCCATATATTAGGATAATCCACAATCTGCTTCTTGTTGCACTGATCAAAAGGTATTTCAATATGGATTTACAGATCTACGTATTTGAATATTATTAGGCAAGATAAACTACCGCATGTAAAACTTCAGTAAGTATGAACACCTAGAATCAACAGATGTTCTGTGTTATTAATGATCAATAAATAGGTTTATATTAATGATGTATTTTTGTATTTAACTTAAGTACTAGTCATTCCTGGCTGCTAGTTATTAATTTAAAATACTTGTAACTAACTGGGATTTTACCTTGAAATGTCCAACGTAGACCTTATCAAATCGTACAAGTGTAGTAAACAGGCGAACATCCGCTTCTGTAAGCTCATTTCCGGTTAGGTAACGACTTTTAGACAAAGTATCCTCTACCTTTAGTGACAGAAAATAAAGTTTTTTTATAACAATGATACGAGTAACAGTTCAAACCAACAATGCGGTGGTATAGACATTTAATTAAATACTCGTAGTATAATATATCTAACCCTTCGTCTATCATATTGTTAGAAGTATTGATATAGCCAATAACATGAGGAGTGTTTCACTGCGTAAAGTATATGATACAAAGACGCGGTAGGAAGACTGTGGTCTACTACATCTCGAGATGCGATTTCATAATTTTTGTGAATCTACTTGAAAATAAAATATGGTCATTAATGTTTTTTTTTTTTTTTTTTTTGATATCTGAGAATGCATTTGTATTTTATCGAATGATAATGTACACGCGGAATGGAAACACATAGAGTAGAAAGTGAGCTAGTTTATATATAAAGATACAAATCTCTTCGAGCGATATATAGTAGGGAGATGAATACAGTCCTCCCAATGAAAACCAATCACGCACGACTACTTAGGAGGAAGTTGTATACATCTGAATTACTGAAGTACTTTTAAGGCTTTATGTAGTATCTATTAATGCTATTTCAGTGTATATGTATGCACTTGGTAGCTGAATATCTGTATCCGGCTGATTCTGTTATTAGAACGCCATAGCATTAGTGAATCATATATACCCTGTCCAGACCTTGGAACAATTCACGCACGGCTACATCATAGGCTTCTTGAGTTCTAGCAAACCCGCTCCTGTACACACCATTGTTGATCATCCTGTAACATTTCATTTATATGACTGGTGCATTCGAAAATAATTGTAACACAAATTATAGGATTATAGATAGAACAATACATAAATCAGTCGTATAATGTCAATTTGATCAACTTGATCTAACTGGGAAGTAATAGATTACGGTGTGCATTAATTGATGCTAATTAGAGCTCTTCGTAATATGTTTTTTTTTTCTTTTTTTCTTCGATGCCTTTACTTACATTAAACAGACGACATTTTACCCTTTCAGAGCACCTGATTTTCCTTCTTAAACGTTTGTGTGTTCTCTTTGCCGTCGTTTGATTGATTTCGATTTTGTTACAATGTAAAATATCGATATACTTGTGTTCTTCACGAAGTAAATGTGACAGACGATATGATAATGTACTAATGGACAAAAGAAAAATAGACGAGTGCCACGTGTTCTACCCTAATTATACATACGGATAAATCCATTCATTTACTCCATCTATGTTTGTCCGGAGGTGCTCCGGGTAAAAATCTAACTTTTGCTGTTCATCAGTGGCACAGAAAGCGTTGAACTCGGAGTTTAACATCCGGATAATTTCGCTGGACTCGTTGTTGACAATTGTTTTCTTCTGTTTATCCCAGAGGACAGGGACTGTGATACGACCGTCATAGTCTAAAGAAAAACAATACGAGTTATCATAATTATTGCAACAAGACAATATCAAGTTTCACAAAGTCTTAAGGGTGATAACCAACACGAGAAAATCGAGAATTCGAAAACTCGGTAATCCACATGCCAAAATGAAGGAGCACAGATATATTGTGTAACGTTATTACAAAGATTTTATTGTTGAAAAGATGAAAATAAATTAATAAGATGGAATGTTTTACCACCTGGGTTTGCTTTGTAGTATACCTCCCGCAACCTTGAACAGCCGTTGATAGTGTCCAAAGTACAACCATTCTTCTAGACAAGAGCACAAAAACATCAAAGATAAGATTTATTATATTTTCGCTGTCAAGAAAAAATGATTACATGTTTGCATTTAATCATTTCATGTGTACAAAAATAAAAAGACAATGCATGCAATATCATACAAAAGCGCTCCCCAATATTTATCATAGCATCATGCGTGCGCAGTAACGTACTTCGCAGATAATTTATGTTATCATTAGGTAAGTGATAATATCACGTGGGTCTAGCTAATATAGAGGTTATCTGTTGTACATGTACATGATACTTATAAAATTATCATAATTTGAAAATACAAACGTATTACGATGACAAAACTACATACCTGGTCTGTGAAAGACCACCCATTCTTGCCCATGAACCAATCAACCACGTCATAGGTGATGGCCTGTTCCAGTCCCTTGAGTTTCCTGACGATCAGAGTACGGTGTGCCCAAGGACAGGCGAGACTAACGTATAGATGATATCTTCCTGCCTCGGACTTAAACCCGGACGATCCATCCGCTGTACATGTGAGAGTCAAAATATGGCGAGGAATAACTAGGACTTGACATGAATTCTTGGCCAATAGCGTTCACCAAAAACCCATTGGAAAGATTAAACATCTCTCTTAATATACATGTTACTAAGATCTGCAGCCCTTAGAATATACATATATGTGAATTTAAAAAAAAGTTTATTATCATCTGTTGGTAAGTTACAACCCTTTTTCACAATAGCACCTATAAATGGATTTAGAATTCATAAAGGAGATATACTGGCGGTATACAGCGATTAGCAAGAAGAATGCTGTTTTATTAATATAATGAAGCGTGGAAAGTTTGTACTTACGGCTTGTTACCTCACCAAGAAGACATTCAGATACAACTTACCCGTTATCCTACAAAAAGTAGAAGTGTTATGTACATATGTATAGATAGGATCCTATCAATATTGGACCATTCTATATCGAAATATATTATATGATTATGTACAATGATACAGTATTGTGAATAATACATATGATTTAATTTTATGACCATAATAGGATGATGTTTGGTTGTATGGATTTTCAAAGGAAAGGGGATAGTGTGGTCGAACTGCTCGACATTATTAAATTCCAGGACTGTGTGACGTTGTAATGTACCCAATGTTTACTGACTTATGTGAAACTTAACTTCCTAGCCTGGGCTAGTGGAAGTGGGTGTGTGATAAATGTAAAGTGATCTGGTTGTGTAGAAATAGCTTTGATATACTTCCTCGTACAGGTTTTGTAAGACGTAATCCTGCCAATAAGACGCTGACAGCCGAAACTACAGGAATGACATGCAACAGGCAACCCTACAGGATATCAGGTGATATATAGAACAATTTGTAGTGTAAACACTGTTTAGTCTGGTGCACACTAGCGATCAGTTGAAAAGCTAGAACGGCAGACGATTATTAATATATGCAGCAATGGTACACCGGATGACTTTACAAACAATAACTAGACTGTAAATATCTCGTATCATAAGTTGAAAAACTTGAACACATGCAAGTATACTAAACATGTCAATGGTTATATAGTCTAGACTATTTCCTTTGTATATAGGCACGCTACCTTTTATTCTATCATACACCAGGACAAACATTATAACTGATTAAATGAAATCTGTTTAAACACCGATAAATACACAGTGCTGTTTTGATTATTTAAGCGTGTGTGTATATTGTGTTAAAACATACTCTACTTCTCATGTCGTATATTGTTGATACATTCAAATTTTTTGGGAGGTAAGAGACAACATAAATGGAATAATCGTACACATGAAATATCGCTGCTGTTTATATATACAATTAAAAACATCACAACACACCATGTACGTACCAGTCACGGAAGGCTGGTGCAGTCCTGACAAATTCCCCTGTAATTGGCTTTGGTGATTTTGATTCTTTTTGAGTACCTTGGGCCGCCATGTTCCAATGTTCAAAAGATGGTGCGTTTGTTAACTGTATCAACGTCCTCTTGGTGCTCGTCCACTTGAGAAATGTAGATATCACAAGGGAGAACACTGCACACAGCTTACACCGATCGATTGACTCGATTGTGTGAAACATGTGTAACAGAGTGCATGAAGAGAAACTATGTTATTAGAGTTGGAACTTTGTCAGATGGATAAGTAGTATTTTATTGCTTTTATAGCAATACAATCGATTTCAAATCCGCATGATTATACTACTGACGGTTTACATATATAGAGTGCTGGAGGCCGGTCAATGTGTTCATCATTAAATCATTTTGCATCATTCTGGGGAAAACATCATCATACTCGGAATGCAAATTTTATCTCAAATCGGATAGTCCTTGTCTATTGTGTCCACTTGCAGTAAATTATAAATCGTCCCCAAAAAATTATTGAAAACATAAAAGTCTTCTGTTTTACATGTATTTTGGGTTTTGTAGCGACAAGATAATGACACTGAAAAGACAGACCATGAAAATGTATTTGTCTGTACATGTATATAATTTAATATAACGGACAAAGATCTTCCTCGGTAAATGCCGAGACTAACATTAATGTTTGCACCTTAGCAAGTAACGCATTCCCGATACCTATTGAACGTACCAGTATCTTTAAAATTACCAGAGGGGGTTGATTCAAGTTAAAGGACAGCATTTGTAAACGACATTTATAAATTAACCATGGTGAATATAATTTTACTTTAGCGAATGCTGTCTTTTACAACTAGCGGTATCATTCTGGCCCGTCGGCCTACTTTCCTTGTTACAAAGTCGAAACAAAACATTTTGATTTCAAAATTGTCTTCTTCCGACCATTGTGATATATCCGGTCCTAACATTGTCTTCAAAACAGACGATATGGTTTCGCAATGCTTTTTACATGTGGTCAAATAAATGTTGTGCAAATTGTTTTAACATAGATATATTTTTCTGTATTGGTTTGAAAGAGGTAAATCATTAGCAATGTTGTAAGTTTTTTCATGACGCATCATCAGACAGTTTTAGATAGCAAAAAAACACTTACGATAGCCCAAACATCAAATTAGACGGTTACCTGTTGTGCGAGTTTTAAGAGGTGTAGTAAACTCCCATCATCATTTTTATTTGCAATTATGTAGATTCTCGGAATCCTTCAAATTGGTATTTCCATTTGTGTTTAGTAGCATCAAAATTATTCTAAAGGTAATTCTGATTTTGTGTATGTGACATATACACCCCACCTTTCTTGTTACAACGAAGATATATCACTTGTCACCGTCTTGATGAATCAAAATCCGGACTTATGTTCATGCAACATAATATCTTAATATTAACCAATCACCTGTTTTGTCAAAAATGTAATATTTGCATTTAAATCTACATTTAAGTAACCATTGTGTAAGAAGAGTACATTTAGCAACATGTGCTAAATTAACTGCATTATGACCAATTAGTGAGCGGAGTAGGTTTGTTGCGTATTATGCCCATGGAGGTAGGACGAGTGACTGGGGATCGGGAGGAGCGGATGTTGGCCAATGAGAATTGAGAGTTTATGAGTAAATGATTGACAAGAAATTCGAGAGTTTTACAATTTAGTTGAAACTTACTCCACAAACTTTGACCCTGGGAATTATGTGACATATATTGTATTATAACCAATCAGTAATAGTAATTATTTTGCGTATTGTACCATGTATGACGGTCAGAGGAGCGACAGAGAAGCCGGGAGGAACGGATGTTGGCCAATGAAAATGGAGAGTAAATATTGGATAAGAAATAAAAGATATTTGCATTTTACTTGTTACTTACTTCACAAACTTTGACTCTAAGAATTATGTGACTGTGTTAATGCGTGCAGAATGATATAATGGATATTATATGTATTTCGTTAGCAGAATGGATGTAAAAGATGTGAACTTTAATTTTTTGTGTTGGAGTTATAACTGTCATAGTCATCTTCCACTTCGGACTTACATTTATGCAGTCTCCCATAACAGAGGAAACTCTATAAAAAACTAAAGACAACACGCATCTGTAAAATAATGCTTTATTATCACATGAGTGAAGACATTTAAGGACAGAACAGTGCATTATATTTTGTTAAACTTACAGTTATCAAACCAGATACAAGTGTACAGTAATACATTCTATTATTGGGAATACTTAAAACGTCTATGTTTTATTATCGGTCTCCGTATGGCAAATACTAGCTATCTGAAAAGAATGAAATATTTTTCAGGAATGAGTTTGTAAGACTGACCTTTAGAATTTGAACGTTAAACACACTTTCCAAAAGTTCTGTTCTTCGCAATGTAAAAGGCTGCACAGAAGACACAAAAGCGAGTTACATCTATCAATATATATTAGATAACATTTAAAGTTGATGCAAAAAAAATGAAATTGTTTATATAAAGTAATTTTGACATGGAACCATGGCATATGCTGCTAGGAGAAAACAACGTTTCCCGTTTAGACATTTCGTTGGTATTCTTGTCCTTATGTTTTATACAGTGTAGAAACCGCCAGAAAGTCTTTATCAATTATTTCAAATAGCACTGTAAGTCTTTGAAATCCTTCTAACTTTTCGACATGGATTCCCTGCCGTGTGGAGTGGTGAAGTCGATATCTGGTCCAATGGAAACTATTCTTGTTGGGTTGATCATCGCATGACTCATCTATAACAAATGGTATGATATCAAAATGAAGTCTGTGGATCTTCAACGTTTTTGTTTTGAATACAAAGTCGTCTCGTGTATAACCACTTAAGCGTACGTGTAGAGAATCAAAATAGATATCATTGCTTTTCTTTAAGAGTACTATTCATTAAGAAGTAAGATATGAATTAGCCACTATATATAACAGGACTTGTGACGACGAAATCTAATGGACGGGGAAATTCATTGCTTATGTCTTGTTTATCAGACCTCAGGAGAAAATAAAACACGATATCACAACTTACAATGTCATTTGTATAGATAAATATAAGTTATATGTTCATTAATTGAAATAACTTACCATATAGTGTTTAGTGATGTGTTCAAAGTTGACGGTATCTGCAATCCCACGGAGCTGATACAAATCCCTCAGATATCCCCACAAATTGGGGAAGTCCACAATCCGTTTTCTGTTGCACTGTTATAACATAGCAAGGAGACAGTCAATGTGATATAGAATGATTCATCTATTTCATCCATATCAAGATAGATTTTATCCTTCAGAGAAAACATTCAGAAGCCGCTATTTTACATGCCTGTTATTACTGTGTAAGCGTTGTCATCTGTTTAATCTTAATCCTACCTTAAAGTGTCCTACGTAGACCAAATCAAACCGTATCAGGGTTGTGAACAGACGGATATCTGCTTCTGTTAACTCACTTCCGGTTAGGTAGCGAGTTTTTGACAAAATATTCTCCGCCTGTTTCAGGAAAATGAAATTGCATTGCATTTTGAAATCGCATGGTTTCAAACTTTCTACATAATTACGCATATGCATTTCCCATGTCAGTAGCTAAAGTTATTTTCAAGAGAACAGAGAAAATGATGATTCTGAAGTATGGCCATGAAAATGTTTGCTGTTGTGTTATCAAAAAATGGACACCTCGAAGAGGTAACGAATGAAATAGATGTTTACTAAAAGCCGTTTGAACATACAAGAATACGCCTTGCATTGCGTTGAGGAAACTTACCCTATCAAGTCCCTGGAACAACTCACGTACTGCCACATCATAGGCTTCTTGAGATGTGGCAAAACCACTTCTGTACACACCATTGTTGATCATCCTGAGACATAAACATGTAGCTTTTGCTATAGCAATAATGATGCCAAATTTGATTAGAATTCCAATTAACTATAAACAAAATCGACGCATCATTTTTTAACAAAGAGTCATTCAAAGCGAATTCTAAGAATTCTAAATAAAAATATAATAACTGATATATTGTAAAGTAGGTGCAGTTAAGTTATTGAAACATTTTTAGTTATTAATGCGCAGATAAACCGGATACAACTATACTTATCGATTAACAGTGAAAGATATTTTGCTGCAATGTGTCGTTTGACTAATGATAATAAGTACCACAGTTGAGTGCAAGATTCTGAAAAGGTTTGCTGTCACAAATAAAATTATGTCGCGAAAAATTTCCAGATCCTATAACGCCGTTTTACAGAGTACGTGTCCTAAAAACATAGATATGACCTGATACAATGTCTATTTAACGACCAATCGACGTCACTTGTAACTCGAGTGGTTCCAAACGCCGTTCAATTACATCTCTATCCTACCTCCTCGGCCCTGCACTACCGCCCTTCAATAACGACATACCTATTCGCAAACATACCGCTAAACATGTGAATTGATAATAATTTGCGAGGAATACGTTTTTCCGTTGAGATGATCAAACGGATGTCTTCATTTTACATACGGATATATCCATTCGTTTAATCCATCAATGTTGGTCCTGATATGTTCCGGATACAAATCCAACTTCCGTTGTTCTTCAGTGGTACAAAAAGCATTGAATTCCGAGTTTAACATGCGGATAATCTCACTGGACTCGTTGTTAACTATTGTTTTCCTTTGTTTATCCCAAAGGACGGGCACTGTGATGCGACTGTTATCATCTGAAACAGGACATATATATACAATATACGTTATTTTACTCGTCTACAACAAGACGAAGATATTCAACTGCTGACAAAGCAAACTACAAAATAATATTGTACTTTAGATATTCATATGTCTATTATTATTTCGAGCGAAAATTTCCTACAAGACACTGTAAAAAGTAGTGTTGAAAACAGCAAGGACAATACTGCCATTATCGTGCTTCAAAGTCAAATTCAATAGAACTAAGGTTAAATACGAACAAAGAAACAATTATGTGGAGACTCCTAAACATTACAAGGAGAAATAGACCAGGTGTTCCGGAAGGATAAGAGTCTTCAGCTTCATGGGATACACCAGCCGTGCGAATCTTGGTCAATTGAAATAATGTTATGTAACTTCATCGGAACACACAAGCCCAATCAACCGCGCTAATCAACACAAACCCAGCCAACAGAGCCGAACTGATTTTGAACAGGATAATTAAAAATTTTTTAATCTGACATGCGGAGTTATTTCAAACACTATATATAACAGAAAAAAATGTTGCGTGCCAAAATAGACGATTAACAAGGGATCTCAGAGGCAATCTTTGATCTTTATATACTCTTTGAAAGTTGGACATATTCCCTTCTTTTCTCTTCTTTGTTTTTGCTCTTAATGTTAAGCCATTTGAACATGTGTTTGCAGAAATAGCGATGATAATCTTTACCTGCCAAATCCAAAATGGCCGCTTGGAAATCATTTCTGTTTTCTTCTGATCAGTCCCAAAATCAAACGAGCGCAAGGAGAAACCAAAGGGAGCATACAATAACAATCTATACTTGGCGAAATACAAGATGGCTGACTGTCGGACATTTTGTTTTTCTGATCAGTCCCCAACTCAAAAAGGCACAACTAGGAACCAAGAGGAACATATACACGAAATTTGAGAAAGATCTTTAGAATAGTTCTCTAGAAATTGTGATAACAAACTTTCGAACTCAAAATCCAAGATGGCCACTTGTGGCCAATTTTGTTTGTTTTTGTTTTTGTTTTTTTCTGATCCGTACCAAAATCATCCAGGCACAACTAGCTAGAGATCGAGGAAAGCATACAAATGAAATTGGAGAAAGATCTATGCTGTAGCTCTTAAGAACTAGTGGTAACAAACTTTCAAAGTAAAAATCTAAGATTTCCATCTGTCAGCCATTTTGTTTTTCTGATCTGTCCCAAAATTACATAGGCATAACTTGAGACCGAGGGGAACCTACATACGAAAGCAATCCAAAACCACAGAATGGTAAAAGCACAGGAAAACATAATCAACAACAGGACTAGGGTCTGTTTTCTGTAATAGCCACTGCATATTTATATAGTTTGAAGCAATTGAACAGTGAGACTCTAATACTGAATATAATATAAAAGTATTTTCGGATTTGATTTTGTATCTCTGTTTCTAAATACGTCATTCATGGGGAAATGCAGCAGTGATGTCATAGAAAATGATGTTTTTAAGGCTTGTTGAAGGTAAATGACGTGCGTTAACTAACCTGGATTAGCCATACGATATACCTCCCGCAATCGCGAGCAGCCGTTGACTGTGTCCAGCGTACAATCAGGCTTCTTAAACGATAAAATAAACGTGATCACTTACCGCGTCAAATAACTACAAGGACTGATTTCATACAAATCCAGACAAACCCAATGTTAATCATCTATTTCAAACGTCTGTTACATTCGTAGTATTTACGTATATATTTCTAATGTGCATAACACATATAAAGAAAATATAAAAAATTAAAATAAAGAAAAATAAAAAGCTTATTACAAATTCATAAATGAAACGATACATAACATCATTATTTAAGTTCCCTTCTATGCAAAATACCTTCTAGGATGATGGAATCATAGTACATACCTTGTCTGTGAAGGACCACCCCTCCCCGTCCAGGAGCCAATCAACCACGTCATAGGTGATGGTCTGTTCCAGCCCCTTGAGTTTTCTGACGATCAGAGTACGGTGTGCCCAAGGACAGGCGAGACTAACGTATAGATGATATCTTCCCGCCTCGGACTTAAACCCGGACGATCCATCCGCTGTACACGTAGAAACCAATACATGACATGAGGTTAACAGAGGTAAGGCCATTGAAATTACCTCTTTGTTGAATGTCCATTACAAAATATTGCACACTAAGCATCGGCTATAAAATCATACTTACTATTGACACATGTATTAAAATCTATGTATGTCTTAGTACTCTATTGCCAATTACAGACTCGTTCGTATTAAATGGTTCATAATGGATATTCGGAAAATAGAAATGATTAAATATTCTTTGTTTTACTATGAATTATCGACCAATTTACTTTTCGAATTGATGTTCAAAATAATCTAACGTATGAATAAAACGTGTTTTAATAGATGTTGTGTATAACGAGTATGTTTCAAAAACATCTAAATACCTTGTTACAGATACGTATGCGACATCGTATATATCCATATAATTGTCATTTATCAGAAATACTGATTTATTCAGCTTATTTTAGGATAGGAATAATAAACCTCTCCCTCTATACTTCAAATTTTAATTCAAATAAGTTACCTCCTAGATTTCGGATCTAAGAACAATGACAAACCCTAGAAACTGTTTGGTACATTTTACTTTTAATAAATCATTATTAAGCTGTTTGTAAACGGATTCGCTCGTATGTCTTTTGTAAATCTATATACTCTGTGGCATCGACTAAATAAATAAAACAACAGTACCTGCTCAAGGAACAAAACTTCCAGCACCCTTATTCAATCGGCTAGATGTTCACTTACCCGTTATCCTAAAAACGAGAAAAACATGATAAGCACTCAACTCTTTATTTATTATTAACGCACCTAATGTTTTTTTAGATCCAAATATGAAAATAAAATCCACAATGGTATAAAAGTGATTTGGCATTCATAATAAGAATGCGACATATCTGAATCCTTATAGCACGTACATAAGGGTCTGCTGCTACACAGTCAGTGATGTCGACCATAAGGATCTGCTGCCAAACCGTCAGTGATGTCGACCATATGGGTCTGCTGCCAAACCGTCAGTGATGTAAGGGTCTGCTGCCACACCGTCAGTGATGTCGACCATAAGGATCTGCTGCCAAACCGTCAGTGATGTCGACCATATGGGTCTGCTGCCAAACCGTCAGTGATGTAAGGGTCTGCTGCCACACCGTCAGTGATGTCGACCATAAGGGTCTGATGCTACATCGTCAGTGATGTCGACCATAAGGGACTGCTGCCAAACCGTCAGTGAGTGTCGACCATAAGGGTGTGATGCTACATCGTCAGTGATGTCGACCATAAGGGACTGCTGCCAAACCGTCAGTGATGTCGACCATAAGGGACTGCTGCCAAACCGTCAGTGAGTGTCGACCATAAGGGTCTGCTGCTACACCGTCATTGATGTCGACCGTAAGGGTCTGTTGCTACACCGTCAGTGATGTCGACCATTAGGGTCTGCTGCTACACCGTCATTGATGTCGACCGTAAGGGTCTGTTGCTACACCGTCAGTGATGTCGACCATTAGGGTCTGCTGCTACACAGTCAGTGATGTCGACCATAAGGATCTGCTGCCAAACCGTCAGTGATGTCGATCATATGGGTCTGCTGCTACACCGTCATTGATGTCGACCGTAAGGGTCTGTTGCTACACCGTCAGTGATGTCGACCATTAGGGTCTGCTGCTACACAGTCAGTGATGTCGACCATAAGGATCTGCTGCCAAACCGTCAGTGATGTCGATCATATGGGTCTGCTGCTACACCGTCAGTGATGTGAGGGTCTGCTGCCACACCGTCAGTGATGCCGACCATAAGGGACTGCCGTCACACCGTCAGTGATGTCGACCATAAGGGACTGCCGTCACACCGTCAGTGATGTCGACCATAAGGGTCTGCTGCTACACCGTCAGTGATGTCGACTATAAGGGTCTGCTGCCAAACCGTCAGTGATGTCGACTATAAGGGTATGCTGAACAATCAGCAGATCGCTTATAATGTTTTGTATAGAGATATAGATATAAAATTTATTTGTTTTACAACAAGTGCGAAACAAGCTTTTAACTTATATCACTTATCTTGTTTGGACCGAATGGAAGTGCACAGAGGGTCTTATTGAGGGAGAATACTGGATAACCTGGGGAACACCAACCTTGTCAGGCAGGTGATCTCATACCGTTCCGAGAATCGAACCAAGGATGGCTAGGTGAAAGGCTAATGCGTTACGAATGCGCCACCCGACCTCCCATGGTTTGTATATCATGGATAGCAGGTTGAAATATTAGGACACATATACGACTAGTAATATAACATTTAATAACCCAATACTTTTAAAGCTTCTTATTAAATTAACATGTGTCTACTACCCAGTTATACATAAAGTAGATGGTTTTAAATGTGTGAAGATGGCAAAGCACAAACACGCAATTTTTATGCACTACTGAAAAGTATCTACAGGTTTGTTGTCGTGTACACCCCATGATATTTCTGGCCAGTTTTATCAATAACGACTTTAGTATAGCATTTTTGATATCATAATAATCCATTTGTTGAGTTTAGGTCATATAACATTAGCACGTGAGAGACCAAAAATAAATACCAATCATGATCACTTAAATATGAAAGCTGCATTAAATATATCAGGTGTGTTCCATGTAGTTTAAGTTTAGGTGTTATTGTAATATTGGGTATGACTGACAAAATCACACACAAATACACAGAACATAGTGTATACTTACCAATCGCGGAACACGGATGTACATCTGACGAATTCTCCTTTACTCGTGACAGACGCTTTATATTTTGTGGTAACATCGGGGGCCGCCATGTTTCTGGTCAGTTTAAATGCCGAAGTTTTCGTTAACTTAATCAGTGTCCGTTTAGAGCCCGTCCACGTGTGTAATGGGTTTTGTTTACCACATAGTAGTACACATACGTACCTAATGCTTTCCGTGAGAACAGTTCGTCACAGTTATTGCACGCGACATTGTGAAACATGTGTAGCCATGGCACATGTACTGTGTATCATGAAAACAGATCGAGTATCTCCAGTAATGAAGAGTTCCATTTCTACGAAAAACAACTAATGGAATGAACAAAAACAAATGGATATATTGTAAATCATCATATTCATAAGACCCACCCTTTCGTGTGTGATAAATAATCACTATTACAACAGTTTTTATCATATCGCAGCTGCGGATAGGTAAGAGCTGAAATCATTTTGATTTTAAAATAGCCGAATGAATGAATACTGATGAAATGTAGTTGTTAAATTTTCATAGTACACATCCCAATATATCAACGATGGAACTATGTTTTCAGTAAATAAAGTTTTTTTAAAGACTCCCAACAGAAAAGTTTGTTTTTTAAACCCGCCTCCTCTGTTTCATGTTTTAGGCCCTCAACATCACCATGAGCTCTAGAAGGACGAAACAGCTGTATAGTGTGGTTTATTTTGCTTTTCTCCTCAATTTGTATTAAACGATGCGGATCATCTGTGTGTCGTTTGTACAATCAATTAGCAGTTTATCAATTTAAAAAATCTTGAAAACAACATAGATATCAACATGCTTTAGTGAACTAGTAAATGGTCAGATAATGGTCGCTAACGTAATATGAGAATGAATCTTTGGGAAATTGTCATCATGTATTTTGCATCAAAATTATGACATCACAAAGTTTCAACATCCATAACACCTGAAACACAAATCAATGTGACCCTGTTAAACACCCACTAATTTTTCATCTTTCTAGCTGATATGAGATGATCGATAATATATGTTTTACGATAGTTAGGACACGTGTGTATTTCCTTGACACAGACAACGATTAAACTGCTACTTCAGTTTTATCCGTTTATTACTAAAGTCGAACCTCGTTATCTTGAATTCGGCGAGGTCTGGGAAAATTCGAGATAGCCGGGGATTTAATTTCAATGAGTTTAAATGTTTGGTGTGGTGTTTGACGGGGACTGACGAAATGCTTCGAAATAACGAGGTTGGATTGTCTTTTTAGTTTATAGAAATAGTATTTGTAGGTCTTTTTTACCCTGTGTAATTGCTATGTTGGTTTATTTCCGTAAAATGATCTGTATCGTAGGTGGAATGTGATTTATTTTCTTACAACTTCTGGTCCGGATATCCACTGTTGTAAATGATTCAGTCGCTTCTGTATCTCTTACACACAACTTACTATTCTCTAGTGGTTAGGTTAGATTTTGGCACCCATCTTCGTTTTTGTAACTGACAATTTATCACCTAAAGGGATATTGTTGTAGTCAGTATGTGATTACCTATGTACCCGGGAAAGAGAACCTTATCTAATATGTTTTTATATTTCTATTTTTACATTAACGAGACTACATTTTTTACCAATACTCTCACCTTTATAAGGGCGGATCGATACTTTCTGATTATTGTGATATCATGTAAGGAGGTGGCAAACAAGAACGCAAATACTTAACGGTCTACTTCTTATGATATATTCAGTTCAATGTATCGTACATATACATGTGTATAACATTGGCAAAATGTTATTATAACATTGGCAAAATGTCAGAGACATCGTATTTACAAAGTATATCAGCAATCTAAATAACCACTTTTTTTTCACGTGAGCTTTTGATAAATGCATGTTTGGTAAAAAACGCTCCTTTTTGGACGAAAAAGTACGGAGTGAACTTGACAAATCTCAGTCATTGATTTTTTTTTTTTTTTTAATTTTTGTTAACCGTTATTGTGATATCACGTCAGGAGTTGTCAAACAAGAACGCGCGTACTTTACGGTCTACTTGTTACCATAGATTCAGTTCAGTATCTAGAACATACACATTCACGTGTATGTCAGACACACCGTAATAAAAAAAGTCATTGGTAACCTTAATAACCACAATTGCTACGTTCACATTCACTTTTGGTAAGTCTAATTTACATATGTCATATGCATGTATAACAATTAGAAAATATCAACACGTTAACAAAATCATAATCACAAAAACTCAAAATCAGTGAAACTAGGGCAAAATATGAACAAAAGAAAGATATACCACGGAGAAAGGTCGATACATCTATAAAAATCGCCAAATCAACAGCACATAACCTTCCTCTTTGTCATTCGAACTCTCGGCGAATAATGTAAAATGCAGGCCGTACTGACAGGTCATATACACTAAGGGAGATAACCATGACAACGTTAACTAACATGTATATATTTTACATAATGTAATTTGCCATATGATCTAATACAATGGTTTGCTAGAATTATCAGTATTATACTTCAAACTGCAATTACGTATATTTAGGTACATTGTTGTACACATCAAATATATGAAATGAAAACAACAAAAAATAAGAAATGTTTTATTACATAACTCAGAAAGTATATATTAGGAGAACCAAATCAGTCGGAGGAAGGCATTTTGTTGTGTCATTTTCAATACATGATGCAACATCATTGACAATATAATGACATCAAAATATATTTCTGTTCTTGCTGGTGTAGCTAAACTGCACAGTTATATGTTACATAGAGATAAAAGGCCGATTATATGTGATTTAAACATAATAACATCATTGTTGTTTTATCACTACACTTTGATAAGACGCAAGTTAGCATATCAGAATATTTTTGACGTTCGTGCAGAGTTACCTCCCCGCACGGAGCTTTCCTACTTGATTTTATTTTTATGTAAGCATGGCGGGTATTACGCGCACCTCACGGAAAGAAATTGCTTACAGGGGAACTGTGGTGAGTTCTTATGCGTAAGTAATAGTTCTTTTTGTATTATATTAATATTATTTAATTGATGAAATGGTGCTTGAGCTGTAGTTTTTAGAGATCGCGTAGTATCGTTGTAGAATTTTATGGAAGCGCACTGCAACCGGTGCAAGGGAAATTTTAACCCATTTAAACATGCCAAGAGAATCATTTAGCAAAAGTAATTTTAAATGTTAATTATTAACAGGGATAATATCAATTTTATTTTTATTTATTTATATATATTTGTTTATTTTTTATTTATCGAAAAACACATGAGGAATAAATAGATTTATATATACTATCAGTCTATAACTCCCATCGTCACACACTTACAGAGTATAGTCATGCATCATTTTCACCACTAAACACACAGCATTTTGAGTTGCACACTATATCTTAACTATCATAGACACTATGTAACACAATCACTCTAAACATATATTTATAACTTGCAGCCATACTAGCACTCCAGCATTGTTACATATACAAACAACATCAGCATCTGACATCAACGTCATCATATACAATCATCATCCTCGTCACACATTAGCATCATCACATACCATCAGCATCATTATGGTCACCTATCAACATTAGCATCATCACACTTCAGCAGCATTACACATCCGCATTATCACATACCAAATCAGCATCGTCACACCTCAACATCATCATATATACCAACATCAGCAGCATCACACAGCAGCATCACACATCCTCATTATCAGCTTCTTCACACACTTTAACTTCCATGCATAAGGATGCTGCAGATTCTTAGACACAGTCAACATCATTATCTTCATCATCAAGCACACATAGACATGCTAATTTCAGTAATTTCTCCATAAACTAGTATGGACTCATAATAAGTGAGCAACTGACAGCTGTCACTATATCACTATAAGATAAATGTTCCTAGATATAATGAAATAGACAAATAAAAAACAAAACATGTGATGATTTTTTTTATAATTCTTTAAACAGCAGACAACTATTAGCTGTTAATAATAAATGTAAATCAATATCAGAAATACTGTCAGTTCTTACCATTGCTTGTGAAGTGATTGATTCTAAGGTGACCGATAAGGCCCATGGGCCTCTTGTTTCTAATCTTAAATTAATTTTTCAATGTATTTTTATGCACAATATGCGTACCTCAAGTGATTTTGCTTATTATTTTAGATTTATGATCTTTACATTTATTTACTTCTTTTTTTTTGTTTGATATTTATGTATTTTATACATCCGTCAAATGACAGGACATATTATGGTATTCTCGTCTTCCATCCGTCCATCTTCCGTCCGTATGTCCCTCTGTTCGTAAACATTTCAATGTCCCAGCGATTTTGGAATTTATTAAGCCTTAACAGATTTCTTTTAACTTTCATTGCAAGCTTAAGTACAATCAAAGCTAGATTGAGTTTGATTTCCATGATTTTTGATCCACAACTTTTAGAGTTACGGCCCATTAATGTCTGTAACCTTTTCAATGTCGGTGCAATAACTTTGCAAAGTATTACGCAATTACCATTGAAACAAATGCAATATATTATATACAGCATAAATAGTGTAGGTGATAGTCAGACAAAATCACAGGCGTATTTCGTGACCTGAAACAGGCTCTTGTTTTTTTTTTTTTTTCGTGTGACAAATTAAAATGATTGTTCAATATATGAATATTGTCAGCATTCCATTATACCTTCATAGATCCCTATTAGGATAAACTGACGGGACAGAGCTTGTTTGTTACACTATCAGAATAATGTAAATCACTCATACTGGTGGAGGAATTACAGTGATTCTAGCATTAAGTTGTATGGTTGCCAATTTATTTGCAGATAAGTCAATACCATTATTACTATTGCAGCCATGGTCTTTTGATGGCGTCGTTAACTTCACCTTGTCAGAATATCCTAATGGGGCAATATTTTGTACATCATGTGAGAAAAAAAAGCATATTTACAAAATTAATAACCAGAAGTAGCAAAATCACAGGGACTTTTCGAAATTATTTTTATTATCTTAATTATCTAGACAAGCCATTGTGGCTACATATAAATATGCAAGTGTTTCTGACTTCGTTTTAAATAAAAAAATAGTTGTGGAGTGATGGCTTTTGATAATGGATATATGTATATCTAGTTTTGATATATGCTTTATTTGACAAGGAATGTCAATTTATTGTTGTTAATAAAGTTACTGTTTCAATTTTGTTGTCAATGGTCCGTTTTTCCTTGGCCCGGAACTATTTCTGAAGGCGTCTATTTGCATCAACACTGCATCGTCATGCCGGTAATTACGGGCTTAAAATAGATTTTCTGTTGACCAATTTCATTTGACAGATGGGATTAAATCCCTAATGCGTCATATCGAGCGTAATAGCTTATTGGATAAATATTTATAGCAACCTATATTGAACTTGGGGAAACCCGTTCGTCCGCCATGGTGTTTCACGTTGTAATAGCAGCAAGCTGCAAGATGAACTCGAGTAATTTTACGGATGTTTCCTTTGATTGCTTTTCATTATAACTACTGGAGCATGCATAAAACATCCTTGTGTTGTTGTCACGAAATGTAATAGATGTAGCAACAACCATTTGTACCTTAACTTTAATAAAAACATGCCAAATGTCGTATCTTTCTAATGGGAAGCCTGTTACGACGGAGATGTGAAGGGGACGTAACTCTTGGCGAACGACTACTATGTTCTGATATGTTAATCAATTTTTTAATTAAGGTGTAAAAATAAATAAATTATCATATGAGCTGAAAAACCTACTCACATATCACCTTACCGACCTAAAAATGTTGTATCTCTGAAAGCCAACAATTTCAATTTTCCTACAGGACAATCTGTTTTAATGGGGATTGCAGTCTTTTCCTTTAAAGTAGTGATAGTGTCAGTTCCAACAGGTAAATTTACCTGTAAAACTTACTTTTAGTACTCAGCAACAGATATTACCTGCATCTTTCATTTTCTACCTCACAGATATTTAAAAAAATTTTTTTTTTAGATCAAGCTAATGGCAATTGTTAGTATTTCAACAATGTGTATACATTTTCCAATACCTTATTCAGGAATAATTCGTACAGGCAGAGTTTTGCACACAAACTGAATATGCTAGAATAATGCAATCTTCCACATACAAGAGTATGTCAGAACTCTAGCATATCAGCTGTACACACATTCTTCTACATCATAGTAAGTCCAATCCTCAGCAATGTCCGTTTGAGCTATTTCTCATTAATATACTCAACAAAAAGACCACGTAACAATGATAAAAACGTGTATAAACGTACTGAATCTGATACCAGCTTCCTCATCTGGAACAAAAATGATACAAAATGTTTACCAGCTACGACTCATTTGAGTGTGGCATACAAATCAGAGACAAATAAAAATGTTGGGTAATAAAAAGCAATATTCCTTTTTCGTAACCCGAATCGTACCAGAGAATAAATTGTATAACGACAGCATTCTGAAATTTAACATCTGAACTTGCTATTTATGAGGAATTACTGGGATAGTAGTTACGAAAGTGTGGAGCTAGGTCAATGATAGTAATTGACAAAATTAATGTTGTTATATATGATTTCAGAATAACAGGAAATAATCAGGTTTACAGAAGTAGGAAGTAATATCATCCTTGATACTGTAGGAGTCACTATCACTTTCGTTCACTGCATCCCTGGAACATGTCATAGCAAAATTGAAAAAATCTTCGTTCTACACCCTGTGGACAAGACGAATAATAATGATAATGATCAAACGAATCGCGAGGTCGCATAATGGTATATAATGGCTTTGAATTTGGGTGTCGCTCATTAGTAATCTTCATCAGGAGCATATCAGCTTGTGATTGGTCAGTTATTGCTCCGGAAACCAATCAAATTACTTTGCTTATGCTTTCAATTTTGCCAGGACATGTTCCAAGGGTGCGGAGAGCGAATGTGATCGTAAATCCAGGAGTATCGATGATGAAGCATGATACGACAATATTGATTTTTGAATAAGTGCCAAGCAAGTGTCGTAATACAGTTCACTTTAGAAAAAAATCACTGTTACTGATTTAAATCATTTTGAACTTCGTCATGATTTCATTCAATTTTAGATGCACACTTTCAAGGAATACTAACCAATAGCATTTGAAATATGTATACCTAATTTATTTTTTAACTGTACATTTTTTAATGTCTTATGTAAATTGCAATGACAAAGTACGTTACAAAAACAGGTAAAAACGGAATAAAAACAGTTACAAATCGCAAGGTGATGGCACTACATTCAGAGACAAGAGAATGTATTGGTTTCAGCAATCTGGTATGTATGTGAAATACAGTATTGTTGTGATGGTAAATCTCCCTCACCTCTATCACAAGAAATTAATATAGGACCCAACACACACACACACAAACACACACACACACACACACACACACACACACACACACACACACACACACACACACTCTCTCTCTCTCTCTCTCTCTCTCTCTCTCTCTCTCTTGTAGAAATATAGATAGACAAATAGGAACACACCCTCATACACCCTGTCAGATACACCGATACACTCACATAGACAGAGTGTCGCATAAAAGATGGAAGTTGTACATAGACAGAGTGTCGCATAAAAGATGGAAGTTGTACATTAAAGAAAGAAGATACCAATGCGCCCATTCAAATTATTATTCAGACTCTTGAAAAAGTGCGAGGAGACTAAGACCAGGTATTCCGGAAGAGTAAGCGTCCTCTTCTTCATCGACGACACCCTTAATGTAAACTATAGAACAACACACTTTTTTTGTGGATTGAACAGTGGAGACCAAGATCAATGGAGAGACACAGAGGAAAGTGAGACGTTAGAGCAGACGTAAGGTCTAACAAAACGGTTGTTAAATAAACCAAATAGCAGTATAAGATACAGAGAGGTTAGAGAGAAATTCTGAGGGACAGTCACGCATCCAGTCAGAAAGGCATACTCACCATTTTTATTATATGTCAAAAGTAAGATGAATATCTACATTAACTATTGTACCTGTGTTATGTAAACAAAATGTATTTCATATTTTCCCAGTTTAGGATATCTACATTAACTATTGTACCTGTGTTATGTAAACAAAATGTATTTCACATTTTCCCAGTTTTTTGCTGATATTTCGTTCTCTTCTTACTCTCATCACAATGTTTTGGCCATCATTATTTTATTTGCAACATATTCCTTAATACTTACCTTTGCATCTTTTCTACATAATGTACATCATGCTTAAAATACAAAATTCATTTTCAAAGCTGAGTCATTACACAACACACATACCGTTTATATATAGAATTGCTGCAATCTATACAGCATCCTCTGTCATGTACTAGAGACATAGCTATCCAGCTTTATTGATGAAAAATCCGTAAAATTAAATGCTGTCTTATAAGACTACGCTTTGTACATTTTATATTATCCATGAATATATTCAAAATGGCATTGACATCTAAGTACAATACACTTGTAGAGTTTTGTTGCTTACCGGTTGTCAACAAATGTAAGAGTTGACTAATGTTTTGATTTGTTCGGCACAAAAGAGGTGACTAGGATGTCACCAACTCCACAATGCTGATAAGGTTTTCCAGACATATTTCACATTTCCGTTCTGGGTTGAGGCTGCCCTTCCTTGATATCATCTGAAATATACAAGATAAAGATGTTCAACTTACTATATTTTTATATGCACATCATATTATGAACAACTGAACGAACAAACTGATTTGAATGTGTATATCACCGGGAATGCTAGATATCAAGAAACTCAAATAGTGTTGGGAAGTAATTCTCAATAGCTGAAGTTTCCTTTAGTGGAAAATCAATAATTACACCAGAAAACGTCCTACAATGAAATACACGTGTTTGCATGACTGTGACCGAATTATGCATTTTACATAAATATTGCCAGTCGGAAATACATGATCCAAACAAATATAACTTCTGAATCCTTTCCAATTAGAACTTTGCATTTTGACAGAAATCAATAATCTTTCTATCGTGAAATAGTTTGCTTTTTAATGCTATGCTATTGGGATAAAACTGACGATGGGATTAATATGACGTGACCAGAATGCGTGTATATATTCCTGTGATTCCATCATCTACAAATCAGACGAAATTTATTATCATGTTATGTATGGTATTTCATAGTTAATAATCATTTGACATTTTGTGTTTTATCAATATCGAATTTTCCGTACATTTCAAAACTTATTTAGTAATTCTGGGGGGGGAGAAGTTATTCATATGTGGAATTTAATGAACACTAAAACGCGTTTTATAAGTTTTCACAACTCTTCTAACATAAGAAAGGTAAGCGGAGGTACAAATATTATATTGTTATTTATACTGAAACGTATTTCTTGGAAATGCGTCCTATCAAATATATATATATATATATATAAGGGGGAATATATAGAAACAAATGATCTGATTTCTAGTTTCAATGACAATGTCTTTTTCGAGTTTGGTGGTAAGGTCTTCGAACTGGGTATTTGAATAGATACTGTTTTTTCCTACGAGGCTGAATAGCTCATCGAAAAGTTTATCAAAAAGTCACGAATATACTGCGAAGTCCTCCAATTTCACTTTAATACATATCATGTTTTTATATTACATTTCAAATAATTTCAAAAAGTAAAATATCAATAATTCTAGTGTATAAACTAGCAAAATTGGTAAGTGTTTACATTCATTTAATGCTCAGACATGTCCTTAAGCAATATGGTTATTTGTTCATTATAGCAGACAAGATCAATAAAACATGTCAAACACTTCACATTAACGTCACGATACCAGACTATTGCTAGGATATTTTTCTCGATAATTATCTTACTAGATGAAGTGCGTTCCCGGAATGAGTACTTGTACCATCAATAACACTTCTTACCAAAACCACCATCTATGATTTGGTGCTTGGACCTTTTTTTGTTTAAAAGATATATTGATGAGGTTGTTTTTTCTAAATAACAGCAGTTGTATGGCCATGTCCATCATATATAACGGACATTAGCCATCTCGATTTTTTCTTACAACGAAACGAAAAAAAAAAAAAAAGAAAAATTTCCACCTAACTATATGATAAGCCTGGGGATTTCAAATTCCCTTCTGTGAACTTCCCATCTCTGGAAAGCAACATTACTGAATTCCTAACATATGGTGTTTATTTGACACAGATGATTTGTTATTTAAGAGTATGCAAGATCTTGGCAACTGACAAACACATGGTTCGATAGTAGGTATTACCCGGACATCTGCTATATAAGTATAAGCCTTTATTATGGTCTGATTGTGATTATGAAAAATTTTCTTTCCTCTTTTAAGCTTATTAAGACAAAATACTTACCTTAGACCATGGGACCCATTCCTCTGGCACCAGGGAGAAAAGAAGAACATCCGTCCTCTTCAAACACTTGAAGTATGAAAAAACACACAATGCGATATTTGCTTTACGGACCTTAAACGTGACTTTATTTTCTCGAGCATTCAGACAAACAACTCACAAGATCGTGTTACTAGGAGGAGTGTGAGATATATACCGTACGCTAATTTTCAAACAACCTGTTAATGAACTTATGTTTTGTTGTTTGTAAATATTACCCGCACAACTGCCATTACTAAGTGTAAACCTTTAATTACGGTCTGATTGGGATTATGGAAAACTTACTTTCTTCTTTTAAGCTTATTAAGGCAAAATAGTTACCACAGACCAATGGACCAATCTCCCTGGCACTAGGGAGAAGCGAAGAACACTCGTCCCCTCCAGACACTGAAAGTATGAAAAAACACATGGTAAAGAGAAACAGTAATTCATTCAATAAATCTGGATACTTGATTAAGTTTTTTATTATAGTCTCTCCATCTGTTCGGAGGTCTAGCCCTCAGTCCTCAACCAGACCTCTTCATATATGCATGTGTTAGATAAAATATGGTCTTACTCTTAAGGAGAAAGAATGCAGATTACATGACTGAAAGTAAATCATAAGTATTTGATATGTAATTGAATTCAGTGTTTAACTCTGGCGTGGCTTTCGGTCCTTATGGTTCAGAAGACAGGCTGGCCGAATTGGTGAAGTGACCTGCTGGTGAGATGTTCTCGTATATAAAAAAAAAACTTCCTGTGAGCTTTATAAAGCCTATAGATATGTACAATATAAACATTGTATGTCTACAGTGGTTTGACTGTTAATGGAACTTCAGATGCAATTTAAGGAAATCCTGATAGCACACATTTTATAAGCTATTTTTTTAAAAACACGATTTTACATTGAATAAGTTTAAGAACAACAAAGAATACAACGACATATTAACTTATCTGAATTCAATCTCAGACTCAATGAAAGTAAGACAACAAAAATGATAATAAACATAAAAAAATAACAAAGACAAGATTAACGAGGAGTCAAATGGAACTAAGTACAAGGATGAATGTCCAGGTGTTCCGCAAGGAGAACATCTTTCGCTTCATCCACGACACCCTTCAATTAATATTTTGTCAATTCAAATATGTAAAGTCGCTATCCCAAATGAGAACAACGTATACAACAACAGAACCACCTGTCACACTAACGACCGAAAAACATATACCTTCAGAAAATAAATTTCATTGTAACATGAAACATGTTGAGATTCCTTCTAAGTCAATGTGAGCTACCGTAGGCAACAATATGGGAAGAAAATGGAATAACAAGAGTATAATATATTATTCCATGGAATTTGGTTTGAGTGTTATTACAAACATCACAATTTCACCCCGTCAATCTTTTCGATAGAAAGAGTATGCGATAACACGAGGCAAGGTAATGAGAACGCAATGGCAAGGGAGATAACTCAATACAGTACGATAATTTTTAAACAACACGTTATTACATTAATCTTGGTTGTATGTAAATATTACCCTGACATCTGCCATTACTAAGTGTAAACCTTTACTACGGTCTGATTGTGATGATGGGAAATTTACCGCCTTCATTTAAGATTATTAAGACGATATAGTTACCACGGACCATGGAACATATCTCTCTGGCACTAGGGAGAAGAGAAGAACATTCGTCCTCTCCAGACACTGAAAATATGAAAAACACATGGTAAAGAGAAACAGTAATTAATTCAGTAGATCCTGTCACTTGATTAAGTTTTTATTATAGTCTCTCCATCTGTTCGGAGGTCTAGCCCTTAGCATATTCACATATGAATCAGATGGTCTTACTCTTTTCTGTACTGAAGGAGAAAAAATTTTCAGATAACATGCTGAAAGTAAATCGTTAATGTTTACGATACCATGGAATTCGAGGATTAACTGTGGCGCGGCTGTCGCTCCTTGTGGATCTGAATACATACTGTCCGCAACGATGAAATTACCCGCTGGTGATGTAATAACTCTTGCTTGATTTTCGTCACTGATCGAATATGCAGATATATGCTGAACTGAGCCTATAAATATGAACAATAAAAGAAGACACAATATCCTACATATATCTAGCAGTATTCTCCTTAAGATACAACTGATTATAAATAAATAAGATCATAAATAACCGGAGATGTAAAAATGATTAACCTGGCAAGGTCTATTTGATATTCATTGTTAATCTACAAAAAATATGTTTTGTTATTTTCCATAATGCCGATTAAAACGCATTTTAACAGCCATGAACTGTAAGCTTTGAGTTTGTCCGTAAACTGTGAAAGAAATGTCTTGAACCTGAAGGACTTGGTCTGGTTTGTTATTTTGGTTGACAGTAAACTCACCTATACTAAGTAAAGCATGACATGCTAGCAGAAACATTGATCTGCAAAGCAGGGCTTAACGAAAAGTCAGTGGCATAACAATTTTTTTCTAAGATGTCAAGAGTGATGGGCAACCTACAGTTTGAGTTATGTACACCCTTCAACAATTTTGTGATAAAAAATTATGAAGTGGGGTCAGCCATGCCTTCAACAAAACTGATTGCCGAAATATAAGAATAAATTGTGGCAGAACTCAAATTTTGTGTGAAAAGATGTGCAATGTATTCAGAAAACACCAGTTGAGGAGTTGGAAATATGGTTTTCGCAGGGTATTTCATACTATCGAAAGAAATTAAATTCTGAAGAACCCGTCGGTAAGACTTAACCGGAAATCCCCAAGTGGAAATCCTCCGAAAAACTGTAACTAATGTGTCACTTAGGGACTTGTCATAAGATTCAAGATGGTGTTTTAATCTATTGGGACGCACTGGTGTTGGCAGGCTTTGAGGATGAAAGGCAGTTCTTGTCAGGATGTTTTTTTGCCGCATTGATAACACTCGTGTTTGTACTTGCAGATATTGGGCTGCTGATATTTGCCCTCTGGAATGTATGACCAACATTTTTAAAGATGCTAAACGCCCTAATTCTGTATGAACAGTATCCTACTGAATAGGCTGTATGCGCCTCAGTTTCCTAAATTTTTCATCATAATACGCAGCAGCTGGAAAACTGTATATACTGCTTAAAAGGCGTATATTATGACCATATTTCAAAGGGCCCTGTAGATCATGGGGATATTTAGTGGAATAGATAGCCACAAACATATTAAAGGCTTGTATCCAGAGGCCAATATGATTGATTTTTTTTGTTTTAGAATGAGCAGTCAATCCAAGGCCCCCATCTCCTTGCATTTTAATGTTGAATTATGTGTCATTCTCAGCAATGGGGAAAACTAATGTTGAGAAATCCACAAATTCATGTTCGAAAATCTTGTTTCTAACTTTGTTAGAGGCATTGCACCCAAGAGACAGACTCTGTAAGCAAATGGTCATTGTGCGGACAGTTACCTAACACAGCACTGGTGCATTTAGGACATCTGTCTGGTGGTGTACGTCATAAGTCATGGGAAGATGGAAAGGCCCAGGCTGAGTTTCGTCCTGATCAGGTACAATTGGACTGGTGGGATCCATTGGTGATCCCGTATTCAAGGTAGTGGAGTCGTTACCACTGACAACGGCAACAGTAGGCGAGAAGAGAGAAGAAGGTGGAGGCTGAACCTGACCACGCTTCAGTCGCTTAGCAGGCGGCTGGTTTGCAGAAGAGGGTGTTGCTCTCTTTTTCTCTTTTGGAGGCATGATGATAAATAACCTGAAAGTAATATGTAACAATGAACTAGCTAATCATTGTTAGTTGGGATACCATGCATGTAAACGACAGACATTATTGTATCAGAATGCAGTATAATAACAATACACAATCACAAATCGGATGAATATAAATGTTGACCCTATTTGAGAAGGCTATCATGGCGCAAGAAGAAATTAGATAATTAAATAAAATGATAGTTTGAGGGTTGGTAATACTTGTATATATATAGAATCCCATTATAATGGGGATTACCAGAAGGATGGTACCAAATCAGTTAGCAGAGGGCAGGTCCCCTTATAATACTCAGCGGGCCAATATGCTAGGTAACAATTTCACCTACATTGAAAAACCTGCCCACACATGAGCTGATTGCACGTCATTGAAAGGAGGCATGGAAATTAAGTCTAGTTTTCACATATAGGCCCAGATCATGTAACTTAGGGATAACTCAAATAGATAAGGGTATAAGGGGTATGATAATATACAGCAGTATGTAGCCTATATACATTGTCGATGCAATACTATATACAACCATAAAAGACGCATAAAAACATAAGAGCTACTCCACTTGAATAGGACTAGATGGGTGAGGGGGAGGGGTTGTCTCAAAACAATGCAAGATAAAAAGGTAGTAAACTATTCAAAACCTTGAAGGACTATAATGTCTGTCTATAACTGGCGAGAACAGAAAATTATGGCGGATTTCATGCAGCGATAATGTTTCCTCATCCCCGCCAGATTAAAATGCACTTTGTCGGACGGGTACAAAGGGTGTGGGTTTGCCCAGAAACAAGGGTGGTACCAAAATGAAAGCAAGCCATGATCTTTCAACATAGCCTCGAGCAAAATGTTCAACTGGACAACATTTTCATTGTAAACACGATGATCAGCAGCAAATCTAGGAATGAACTGTTTAATAACAACACGCTGCACGGAGGGTGCGTTCGAAACAAGTAAAGCAAAGTTAATTACATCAAGGGCGAGTTCGCGTGAATTAAAATGACGTCTAGATAAGTCATTTCCCCCACATTGAAGTAACACAATTCTCGGTTGAACGCGTCTTAAAACAGTTAAATCGTTCAATAGAGACTTTGGTCCTGGACGTACGACCCCCAGGTCAGAGTTCAAGATCTTAATACATCTGACAGTAATATGCAAGAGCCATTTTACATAACATTATAATGTGAACAAAATATGTATGATTATGACAATTTTATATGTATATATACAGGAATATATTAAGTAACCATCTAACAAAAATGTATTTATTTCATGAAATGAATTATATATATACATACTAAAGTAGGAAGAATTTAGACTACACGACTGAAAGTAAACATGACCTTCATTTTTAATCTCCAAATAGTTATTTGTTATTTTCCATAATGACGATTAAAACGTATTCGTAGAACATAAAACCATATGCATTTAAATTGTAACTTCCATTGTTGGTTGTATATTACAGTCTAATGTTTCTTTTGTAAGAATGATTTCAATCTGCTAAAGGTAAAATAAGGTATTTAAGTTTGAATGACTGTACATGCTATAACCCAGTGTACAAATATTTGTAATGATATTTTCATCTGTTTGGGAACTAGTAAGCTGTGACTTCTTTTGTTGCGTTGGTGATATTTATCATCAATCAATCAAGATATAGTAATTTCATAGAGGACGCAAGCTCGAAGAGAGAGAGAGAGAGAGAGAGAGAGAGAGAGAGAGAGAGAGAGAGAGAGAGAGAGAGAGAGAGAGAGAGAGAGAGAGAGAGAGAGAGAGAGAGAGGGGGGGGGGGGGGTTCAGTAATGTACACTTCAGATCAACATTTTGACAGCATTATGAACATAACATACTTGTTGAAATTTCCAAACGTCAGCTGTGGTTTCTTTTGTTGCGTTGGTGATATTATTCACCAATCAATCAAGAAGATAGTGGTTCCATAGAGGACTCAAGCTTGAATAGAGAGTTTGAATGAGAGAGAGAGAGAGAGAGAGAGAGAGAGAGAGAGAGAGAGAGAGAGAGAGAGAGAGGGGGGGGGGGAGGGTGTTTCAGTAATGTTCACTTCAGATCAACATTTTTGAAACAATATAAACATAGCGTACCTGTTAACATTCCCGAATGTCGTACCGTTTACTCCTTATAATGTATCGGCCACGTTTCAAATAATGAATCGGTTGGCACTCAAAAGATCTGTAAGGTATTTCCCATTCTATAAAAAGATTGTTACCAATGAATCAGTTGGCACTCAAAATATCTGTAAGGTATTTCCCATTCTATATAAAGATTGTTACTATTTTAAGGAAATATCTTGAAATCACCTGTATCTAATTTTAAATGAACTGTAGATATTGTTCCAAATTTGATATAAAATATTATCTACAGAAATCGATTAATGAGAAATTATTAAAACATTGCGTTATGAATCAATTCCATGAAAGTCAGCAAAAAATGCTACGCAAATTACCTTATCAGATACCAAACTCAATCTCCAACCGAACGTGCGGAATGTGGAGCTAACAGGTGAGAAATTTCAAGGGGATTCGTGTCATCAACAGTGACAGCTATAAGTTGCCGCCATATTTTCAGCCGCGTTGTAACTTGTAACAAGTTTAACTCTCTTTGAATGTTTCCTCTGTTAGTGACATAAATAAGCAACAACTACTTTGTGAACATGAATATAATTTACAATGAAATGTATTGTGTTTACATATTTTACATATTTTCGAAAAGCCTAGTCAGCTTCCTCGTTTTATATCTGTTCTATGCATGCCAGTTATGTGGCTCTTTTGCTATTTGATATTGTCTTCAGTAATAACGAATATGTTTAACTCGTGTGTCGTCTAAAATACTGAGAGGAAAAAGAAAACGCAATTAGCAGAAAGTTAATATTGTAAATTAAATCCTTGACGTACAACCTTGAAACTTGTGTGCATTTGAGTTAGGTCACTATTGTACCGTATTAAAATCACTGATGCATAACAAAACTGAAACAGCAAGGAACACAATTGAGCGTCATCATGTTCAAATTGATCCAAAGACAGTGCGTACTCGACTGCGTGCCTTCGGTCTAAGACCGCGGCGGCCATATATTGGACCACGGCTCCGTGCCAGACGAATGCAATGGCTGAACGCACATTCCGCAAGACGCTTCCAAATGCAACGTTGGAGAAGAGTCCTGTTCTCAGATGAGTCCAGGTTTTCGCTTTACCGGGCAGACGGCCGATGTCGTGTCTATAGACATACGAGCGCTATGCAGATGCTTGCGTGTTAGAGAATGACCGCTTTGGAGGAGGATCGGTCATGGTATGGGGAGGGATTGTGCAGGGTATCAAGACTCCTCTGGTCGTTATTCAGGGAAATCGCACGGCCGTCCGCTATAGAGATCAAGTCCTAGCTCCGCATGTTGTTCCTCTAGTACCGCAGCGTCAACTTACGTTTCAGCAGGACAACGCCCGGCCGCATGTAGCGAGGGTTTGCCGTGGTTATCTCGCAGCAAACAATGTCCCCACCCTAGACTGGCTCCCATACAGCCCTGACCTCTCCCCAATAGAACATTTAGAGGACGTGTTGGACAGAAGGATAAGACAGGCCGAATCCCCCAATCAACGTCGCTCAGTTGGCGTTGGCGCTGGATGAGGAATGGAAACGTATACCAATGAGGAGGGTTAATACCCGGATCAATGCAACGCAAAAAGAGTTCGTGCAGTTACGGCAGCTCGCGAGGGGCACACACGATATTGATGGGTCCAGAATGCGCTTCATTTTGAGTGGGGTACTCTTGAATCAATTTCAAATTTGAAAGGTTTACTTAACGTACACGAATGAAATTCTCGTAGATGACGGAGTGGTCAACTATCTTCCAGTTACACCATAATTACATTCTAAAACCCTGTTCTATTTCCCGTAGTTGACCTGGAAATTCCTAATTGCGTTTCTGTTTCCTCTCAGTATATATTAGAATATGTACAACACGGAAGTATGATTAGTATGCCTATACATGTACCACAAACGAAATCTGGTGTAGTTTGAAAAAATATTGTGTAATATCGATGGTTGGGGAATCTTTCCGTGGTAATCAAAACATTGTTGGATGGAAAGGAATTATCGACAGTTGTAACACCTACAGAGTAATCAAGGTATGCATTTAAATTATCTAAATTAACGTCCTGTCGTTTCTGATTCACCATTACAGTATGTTTATATGGGTGAATACTGGGCTACAAAATTTGATAAGAGACCCTATCAAAAAGTGTGGCAGTCTTCCAGTAATGTGTAAGATAAATACACACACATCTCTGTATGTGTGTACTTGGTATCATAACTCGTGGGAAATGTTGTATGAGTAATATTTCCTGGTATGTTACTAATTCTATGAATATCATTGTATGACATTTACCACATGATAGGGAAGTACAACAAGGAAGAGACAAACATGAAAATATAAAATAAAGAAGCACTTGATGAACAAGACTTCCTTTAAAATCTCATGCAAATTAGTCATATTTTCGATACCATCGCGTGCTAAGGACTCATAGTTACTGATGTGTATTAGTTGTACAAGTTATGTGTAAAATCCAGATCTACAATTCATCGAAGGTCATCAGTCAATGTTAATAGGAAGTCATTGCGAATTACTATACCAAAAGGATAAAGAAAAGCAGGATGAACTTTAAACCAGAAATTAAGTATGATATCGGGCTTCATTTAAAACGAAATTTTGTATGCTTACAGATAAATTAAAGCCAAAGTCTGTATTTTACATCTGACAATTGGTTTAGAGGTACTAACGATTAAAGTGAATGGATCCATAGGATTTTGAAATTGAAATTGAACTGAGTCATCAATATCCTGTGTGTCCGCCGTTTGCTGTGGTCACGGCCCTTATTCTTCTGGTCATAGAGTTCATGAGAGCGTTAATCCGTCTTACGGGGATGTTGTCCCACTCTTTAATCAGAGCTCTGGTCAACTGCTCTCGAGTAGCAGTGGGTGGCTGGCGCTTTCGAACCTGTCTATCCAACTGGTCCCAAAGATGCTCGATCGGGGACAAATCAGGGCTATATGGCGGCCAATCTAGTGGTTGAATGTTGTTGTTGGCCAGAAAGACTTGGCAAATCCTTGCTACGTGGGGCCTAGCATTATCCTGCTGGAGGGTTAGATTATGCTGCTGTAGGAAAGGGATAACATGGGGTCGGAGGATCTCATCTCTATACTTAGCTGCTGTTAAATTGCCATCAAAAACAACCAATTGTGATTTTAACCTGTGTGAGATTCCTCCCCACCCCATTACTGAACCGCCCCCAAACCTATCCCTCTCTACAACGCAAGCTTCCGTAAAACGTTCGCCATGACGTCGGTAGACACGTTGACGGCCGTCAGATCGATAAAGACAGAATCTAGATTCATATGTGAAGAAAACTTGTCTCCACTGCCTCAGTGGAAACCGTCGTTGAGAATGTGCAGCGACCCAAGCCATACGACGCTGACGTCGAGCAGGGGTAAGGTGTGGACCTACGTAGGGGCGACGTGCTCTTACACCAACTTCTCGTAATCGATTCCTTACAGTTTTTGAACTTATAGGACGCCCGTGATTTCCACGAACACTAAGTGCACTCTCAACGGCAGTAAGGCGCCGATTACGCACATTAGAGACGACGATATAGCGATCCTGACGTCGTGACGTTACGCGCGGACGTCCTGACCTAGGTCGATCGGCCAATCGCCAAGTTTCCCGAACACGTCTTACAAGACGTTCTATGGTGGAAACATTTACACCAAAGTGCCTAGCAACCTGATTTTGCAGCTGTCCTTGCATCAGCATTTGAATGGCCTGACCCCTCTGAACTTCTGTGAGTCGTGCCATTCTTAAAACGAATAAAATTCTCAATTAATTTTAGGGAAGCAGTTGGTCTGTATAAAGACTAACGAAGAGTGACTTGACCAACGCTGCATGAGACTAGAACAACACGGTGTACGAGATTCTTGTTTTTCCCTTCCTTCATTTACCAGAGCTGCGCACTGTACCATGACTAAATTTTCGATATATGACAAGGTGTAAGAAGACCTAATTACTCAATCCACAAAGTTTCACTTTATTTGGAGAACGCGTTTTCAAAATATCGGAATAAATATTACCCTGCGTTTCTTTATCCTTTTTTCAGTATATTAAACAGATATAAATTCATGCATGCGAAGCTATTCCAAATGCGAATATACTAGTATAAGGTAGCTAAAAATCATCTTTAAATACTTATCGATATAGAATACCTAATATTTCTATATCAAATTAATGCACAGTAATAACGATACCAATTAAACATTACAAAAGACTTCATAGGGCGGTTAGATGATGAATACTGAATTTTTGTCTTATCCAATTGTCAGATGTCAATAAAATAAATAGCAATGTTAAATATATGCGTCATCGAAAGGTAACTCAGATAATTGATATCAGTCTGCGTTGTTAAGTTTTGATTTATTTTGTTTTTGGGTTTTTTTTCTGAAAGTAAACAAAGTTGCTTTGTTCTCACCGGTTTATCTTATCTGTTAAGTACTGAATTGACACAAACTCCTATTTTGTAGCATACATAGGGTCGTATTTATCAACTCATGGTCCACGGAAAAAGTACGGATACGTGTTTTTATACACGATAAACCATCTGACCATGTTTCTAATGGATAACGTCCTAATTGTAATGGACACCAACAAAGTATTAGTTATTTATTATCTTAGACCCTTTTCTCTTGCCAAAAGGCAACCAAACTTAAAATTAAATAAAGTTGTTACAGCCTCATTTTGCGAGCAGGTTAACCAAGCATTCCGCCAGTTAAATCCTTGACTGCGCACTATTACAAATACTAATATAACAAGTAAAGAAACGTGATATAATACAATCGTCACTGACCACAAGTACCAGCCACGGCTGTCAATGCACTCATGAAAATGAAAACTCGATGAAAGCAGTCTGAGTAAAACTGTCAAAAGACTGTTTGTCGAACACAGGTCTTTTTATTGCAAACATTATTTGTTCATGACTTTATTGAAGCATTTCCATAAAATTTAAAGGAGAATAAATATATTTGTTTTTATGTGTGTTATTAACATAACAGTGTGTGTTTGATTTATTATTATTATCAATATTGACGTTTTGATATCGAATTTGTTTTTATATCTAAATTGTAAAATGAAACCAGCGCGTCGGCATTATTATATGTTATTTTAGGGCTAGGGGTTTTCCATGCGACCATAAATAGGAATTGGGTTTACTAACCGATCGGTGTAACTTTTAAGAACGAGAATTATCCATGAAAATAAGGAAAACTATCGAAACCAACTTAATAAGGTAAGATTTTAAATGAAGTGTTACTGAACATAGGAAGAAATTTGTTATTTATGTCAAAATACACACGCCAGTACGTTTGTTATGTTGGCTCACTTACCTTATTCCATGTCCATAGTGGTTTCCTAGCAAGGCTTTATGCGATGGCCGGAAGTTGGCGTTACCATAGTGGAAATTGTCCTCGATACTATGATAATATTATTATTAATAATAATAACAATTAATAATAATGATAATAATAATAATACTAATTAACAATAATGATGAATTATTCTATTTAGACATGGTTACATATTTAGACCCTCGTCCCGTTTAAGACACACATAAGGTACAACACACTTGGAAATTTACACAACACATACATAGAAATAAGATAAATAACTAACCTGTGTTCATTGATGTTAACATTTGTCATTCTTTTGGCATGAAACTCTTCAACCTACCCTATGCCTCTCTTTTTCCATTCTCCTCATTCATTATCAGCCACATTTTAGGTGAGTTCAAACTGTTTACACCGTGTCTCGTCAAATTTAATGAGTTAATATCTTGAAGCGGATTAATATGAGTGTTTCAACGCTTGTTTCCGTATCAAATTCATTTGATACACTTTGATGGCTTCTGTACACTCCTTATATAATGAATGAGTTTAATAAAGTTTATACCAAATAAATAACCTGTATATATAAGTAAGATAATCAGTAATTGTAATATATATTCATATAATAAATTAAAAGGAAACAATGTCAATTATAGATACAATATAAAAGCCATATCATAGTTAAAATGCAGACCAGAGATCAGATGATTGGGTAGCCCTTACATAAGGAAGTTTCCTGCTGCGATTTATAAATAAATTTATGTTTTAAAAATATAATGTTATTGCTTTATAAGAATAATCAATAACAATCATGTGAATAACTCCAGGGAATACGGGGTTTAATTTCCATCCCTACAATCTAAGTTATTATGCTGTTGTTGATATAGCTATGATGAGACAAATAAACTTGTTTTGCTTCGAACTGAAGCCAAGATTCCCCCTGGGTACGTTAGGGGAATAACTGTTGAAATCACCGCATCGATGGTAAATGTGTTTCTTCCACTTTTATGAACTTCTTTATTCTGTCTTCAAAATGAGCATTGTCTATAAAATGAAGCTGAAATAATTGTCAATAAATGTGAATATTGACATTGAATTATCATTTTAAAGACAAAAATGTTTGGTCTATCTGCACCCCAGGAACATGTTGCAAAATTGAAAGTTTTATGTGTGACACCTTTCGGTGATTGGTCAGGTCAGGCTGTAGACCAATCAAATCACTTCGCTTTTTCCTTAAGCTTCGCCATGTCATAGCCGAGATACTAGATAGTATATCAACTTATATATATATCATATTATATCATATTAACTTGAGTTAGATAAACATGATAAAAAAATCACTCGTTTAGGAACTCGTGAATAGTTTAAATATCAACCACGAGAGACCAATCATTGAATATTTATAAATAATGTAGTTAACATATCAGCTAGGAAAAAGAAACCAATAACTGAGGATTTATACTACATGTATTTTTTTTATAACAGCCAAGGGGGGCTCGTTACTGACACTTTAAATTTATTATTGTTTACATATCAGTCAAGATAAACCCATTACGAACGATTTATACTTGCAGTTGTTTGTGTATCCCCAAAGAGAGACTAATTATAGACAACGTAAACTTAATCACGTTATTTATAAGCCAAGAGAGACCATTACTGACAATTCATAAATAATGTAGTCTAAAAGTGGACTTAAGCCCGATGAATAATGAAAATGAACTATTGAATAAATGTAGATTACATATCAACCAAGTGAAACCCATTACTAACGATTTAAACTTGATGTAATTTACATATCAGCGAAGGGAGACACACTACCGATTATTTATACTTTATGTAGTTTACATCACCCACGAGGAACTCATTAGTAGCAATTTGTACCCAGTTATTGTTTTATTCCTGGTTTTGATAGTTTTATATAAAAAATTACCGTATCTTCATCATTTCTCTGATGTAGAACCTATATTAAACATCAAACATATATTCACTTTTTACCTAATTTGGTGTTAAGAGTCAGTCGTAGTTATGTTTTATTCACAATATAGGATAATTTGTATATAAATGTGTACACTACTTGACAAGGAACCGAAAATGAATGTGCAATAATGTGATACGTCACTCTTAGCTGTATCTAAAACTGGTCAGTGATAGTCACGTGCTTAATTGAATACATCCTGTTTGTGATATAAACATATTGACCTTTAAATAGTGTACTGAGTTACACTCTTCCTGTAGAGTGTACAAATTAAATTTATGCTTAATAATTTAACATTTTTCTGTTGTAGTCGCTTGGCATGCAACAAAAAATAAGAAGCTTTGAACTTGGTTCAGGATACTTTTCCTTAAATAATTTACAAATAGATTTTAGATATCTCGATAGTTACAAATCCATCAACATAAGCTGACAATTAAATAAATAGTATGTTTACTCAAGAGATAAGGAGATCAAGGTAGACATCCATAAGTCTGTTATAATGATATTTTATCATATCTTCTCTACATTAAGAATGTGTCATACAACGGTAACATTTTGTAGTACACAATCCATTCACTTACGCTCACCAAGGCACACTTCTAAAAGTACACATATATATACATGCCTTCTGTTTTTTAAAATATTGTAACGCTACGTGGACCCTAACTGTCACGAAAGTTAAACTGCAGTACAGAAACTAAGTGATTATGTTTCAAATACCCCCGATCATTTGGCTGTTCTCAACATGTAACCTAAAGTTGATCCTTATGCAATAATGAATTGTGTTTAGGTCAGCTATTTATAAATACGTGCAATGTTTAAGTCAAGTTAAGATCTATTGCTATTTATATTTTTACTTCGGAAATACCAAAGCTATTTTTAGAGCAGAGCCAAGAATAGCTCAATGGAGTTACCTATCGCAATTGGCCGATCGACAACGCAAAGATAACCACGCCTACCGAAAATAAAGGGAGGCTACTCTCACCATCTCCGACAAACAAAGTGTCGTCAGCATTGAACGTCATTCCCAATGATATCGGACTTAATTATACTTCTAACGTGTCGTTGAAGAAAAAATTAAAAGCAAACGGTTTCGTGTCTGGGTCATACTTTCAACGAGCGTCCTTCCAAACAAGAGACGATGATACAGTTGAAATCAGTGGCCATGTTTTCCCCAGTCAGCGGAAAAATTTGGGGATATACCCGTTTTCAGTCGAATATTTATGAGGTTTTCCTTTTCAAATAAGGTTAACATGGCAAATCACTGCATTTATTCAATATATATACCAATCAATAGGGAATTCAAAATACAAAATTTGTATCTATGAATTACAGCCCTTTCCGTTATTGAAGGAGTAAAAACTGTCTTTTTCATTTGACGCATATTGCCAGGACCCAGTAAGTCGCCACATTACTACGATCCGTTTTTCAGACGAGTATTTCTGAGACGGTGTTTTTCACTTTTTAAACTAATTTTATATGTGGTAGCAGTGCAATAATTAAATAAAGAAATATACCGGTCGTTTGGGAATTTAATAACCTAAAATTATGTATATATATTTTTTAGACCCTTTCCTCCTTGAATGACTTAAAACAGTCCATTTAAGTAGTCACGTACTTTCGTTTCCCTATACTCGCCATGTCAAATCGAGTCGATTTCAGTCTCTTTTGGTATACTGTGACGTCACTGGTCACTTATTGGGTTTTCAGATTTTTACTCAACTGTTTCCGTGAAATCGATAATTTTGCCATTTTAACAGTCAATGTCGCTTTTATGGTTCATCTTTGAAAATTTTTATTTCTTGTAAAGTGGTCACAGTAACCTTTATTTTCATATATAAAAAATATTTTTCGCTGAAGATACCCTTTAAACACCACACAATGTTGAATCTGTTTATGTTTTTTTCCTCTTTACATTTTTGCTAATAATTAAAAACAAAACAAAGTTCAAGTGGTGTGATTGTTTTCTATGGAGCAGAATTAATGAAATAAAAATAAAAACAGTCGCCATGCAGGGTTAGCTCAGTTGGTAGAGCATAGGCTCCACGACCAGGAGGGTGCAGAGGGCCGGGTGGGTTTGAATCCCGGCAGCAGCAATTTCTTTCACCTCTGTTTCAAGTGGGAAGGAAGTGGTAAACCACAAAGAAACAAACAAAACAAGTTTGCTTTTACAGTCATATAAAGTCTTTATAAATTGGCCACCAAGATACATCACTGATATAATGGTTACTTTCTAAACTGGCATTAAATTCTTAAATTTTTGGTTTTTTTTTTATTTATGTCATGTTAATGGGTTTTTTTTCATCAAGAATATTAATACCTTATTGGAAGACTTTAAGATTTTATTTCAACTGTTTAACCATAACAGTAAACATTCATTTTATCACAGACCATTCACAAAGTAAAACTTTGTAAAAGAGCAGAAACATGTCCAGATAATTTCATTTCCCTTCAGTCAATAAATATCCGAAAATGGTCAGTCCGAAATCAAGCTTGTTTATAAATACACACATTAACATGCGACTTATTAGCACATGAGAGAGGATTATACAACTTATGCTAGCAAAATTTTGAGTGAAAAACAAATACTGATGTTCAATGCAATATTGTACACGTGAGTCTTTGAATATTTACGCACTTTTGAGCAGACATAAATAAAAAATGCTTTCCTTTAGAAGGACACCACAGGATCTCCTCGTTAAGTTGATACTTAGGCCGTCCGCACAATCGGAGCCAAGATTTGCACTTCTCATGCTTCATCTGAGATTTGGGAAACGGTATGAACACAACACCTCCCTATAATCGCTCGGGGTAGCGAAATCGGTGTTGCAAGTTCCCCAGCAGCAAAGTATCACCATTGTCGGAGAATGTCGGAGTAGCGAAATGTAAACAAAGAGGCGAATACTACCCGCGATCTGATTGGCTAAACCGCGCTGTCAATCAAAAGCTGTCGATCGGCCAATTACTGCTGTGGTATTTGTAGCGTCAGCTACGTAATTATCATTCATGATATTGTAATATTTAAGATAACACGGGTAAAAGATACATTCTATAAGGTCAGGCCGTCAACAGCTGCAGGTAGAACGTATACATACGCTTATCCAGCTACGGGCACTACCATTGTCAGAATACATGTTAAGATTTCTTATTTTCTTACATATTTTATTTTATTTGTTAAAATATTATTATTTGCACAAATTTGTTAAATTATTTTTATATCCTTCGAAGTATGGAGCTTTATCCCTTACCTAATATTTGTATTCATACGCACTGACATTGTTAATCTGGTCAAATTCATTGGTAAATGAATGAAACAGATCACATTTAGTAATTTCATTGAGTC